GAAGAACTCTTGCGTTATGATACAGGTCATAGAGAGTGAATAAAATCTCTTGGGGGACACTGCAGGTGGGTCTCTATATTCCAGATCCAGGATATACTAGTGAAACATTTTAAATGTGACCTGTATATCTGTAAATGCTACAAGTATTTTGTGAAAGGAGCACAGATGGCAGAAGAGGCTGAAGCTGTTTCTACCCTCAGCCTAAATGCATAATAAAATCGTTCATACCAAACAAAGAGCCATACAGGGCACTTGGGTGCCACTCAGCTTAAGAATTTATTGGCGGTGTTTTGAGGTCACCATTTCCAGTTTTGGAGTTAGGCAGGGTTTAGACAGCTGGAGTCTATTTGAAGTGCTTAAACCTTTATTTGGATGCAGTCGTCAATCCTTCCTGTGAGGTACTGGGTCTCCTCAGTTCCCAAGTGTGGAAATGTGAATTTGGTGAGTGTTTAGGGATCGACGGATTCCAAAGTGATGCGTAAGTGCTCACACTTACCTGGAGTATGGCAAAAGATACCAACCAGGGATAGGAGAGAAAGCCACTCGTCGTGTATAAAAATCTCCAGAACAACAAGAAGCCCTGCTCCTGTGTCATTTGTGTATAAATCCTAAACCTTCATCCATTTAATGGATGTTGTAATACTCATTTAATGTTGGCTTAGACACAGACTGGAAAAGTTCTCCAGAAAGTATTTAATTACTTGTGTGAGTGTGGGGGAAGGTGTTATAATTCTTAAACTGTATCTGAGTAGTTATGTTCTTTATTACTTTCTAAGCCAAAGAGTTATTTTTAAATTGAATTAAAAATTGCTACTTATGCAATTATTCAGTGGATAATCTCCAAAACAGGATTTCTGTAGCTATCTTGGGTCAGAAGAACATGATGAATCAGCAGTCAAACCACATCAGTTTAAATTCAATTAATTCCCTTCAGATACTCATTCACCCACCAGGATGCAGTTTGCATCCTCCCCTTACAATTCATTCCTGAATTTTGCTCACTCATAAGTTTAAAGGAATGCAAATTTGGTATAATTTATTTATTGGGAGCCAGAAGAGCAGAGCATTAAAGGAAAAACAAACAAACAATAAGAAATGCTCAGTTATCATTCAGTGAGGGACAACTATCCTGCCAAAGTCTCTGCACCTGCTGCCTTTCTCCAGAGCTACCCTATATGGTGAACAGAGGGTACAGCGAAGGTAATATTGACTTCCACTTACTAAACTGTTTCATCCTTAGGAAATGAGGAAAGTGAGACACTATGTTACGGTCTCTGCAAAATATAGTTCTTTGTGGGTAACAACATAACCTCTTCTCTCTGGAATAATCTCTACCGTGGCTCTATAAAAGACATAATTCAGCTAAGGCTCTTAATGCATCCTGTACAAAATCAGAGATAGTAGGTGAGCACGTACTTTGCAATCTCACAACAGTTCATACAACCTAAGTGTAGAAGCAGTTTAACAAATACGAGTGATTCTGTTCAAACTCTCTTGAGAAAGATTTTGTTTTGACTTGCAAATCCTTGTCCTTAAGAGGACTGTTCACAAACTAAGCCTGCCCTTAGATATTTGTACTTATCTGATAAATTAAAATGCAAATTCAAAAGCATAATTTTGTGTACCAGAATCCTATTCGGGAACTTATGTTTAGAAACAGGGAAGATGGACATTTTAATTTTGATGCCTAATCCTGTATTCAGCCCTTTGGTGTCCTCTTAAGAAATTGTAGGTTTCTGAAGTGACATGAGACACCATTCCACTGTGTCAGAAGAACATGCAAGTTTCCTGTTCCTGTGCCGTAGGCCTCTGTATTAACTGCCTGTCGGTAATTTAGGGAAGTATTTAGCCACCGTGTCCAGGAGCATCCTGGGAGGCAAAAAAAAAAAGAAAAAAAATAGCATAATTTGAGAAGTTTCTCATAATTTTCTAGCAGCAACATGCACCTTTGGAATGGGTCACCCAGAATGTATCTGAGTAGAAGAGGATGGAGGAGAGAGGGGATGACAGAATCCACTTAGGGCAACCAAAAACCTCTTCACGCTGCAGGAAAATGCTCTGCGGGCAGGGGAGCCCTCCATCCTAATCTGCAGTCTTCGGGGCTTTCCAGTTGCTGGAGAAATTCAGTTAAAAATGCAACCACCACTGCGGGCTGCAAGGCAAAGTGTCTCCAAGCTCAGCAGCGTGAGTAGCAGCAGCAGTGAGTAACATGTTCGTGTTCAAGGGGAAAAAATCCCTGTCATTTTATTCGTTTTGTCCTGTCCACAAAGGCCTTAAAGCCTCTCTTATCAACTATATTCATTTGTCTAATAACAGATACTGCCTCCTCTTACAAACCTGCCTAATGGTTTATTTGAAACTGTTTTTTAAATTGATTCAACAGTGACATTCTTGTAGCTATCTACATTGGACTGATTCACATCTCTGGTCAAGGGATAACCTGGACATTCAATAATGAAAATTAAAAATCTTGAACTTTACAGCCTCTCTGTGCTGCCTGCAACAGCTTCACCTTTCCCTTCAAGGGAGCCTTCCTGGATGGCAGCAAAGGCTTCCTAGACTGTCCTAAGGAGCCAAGTTGCAGTTCAGTTCACAGTTATTCTTGGAAAATGTTCAGTTTGATCCAAACTTAGCCCTCCTCCCTCAGCAAATGACTCCCATGTGACCCCAGAGCCATTTAACAATTGTGCCACAGGGTTTAAGTGCATCTAGATGGCACCCAGTGCCAAACTGGAGGACGATGAATTTCATTCATTTCTTCCCTGCTTCTGGATTGCCTGGTTCATGTTCTGTTTATATTCTTTGTGCTGGGATTACAAGGGCTGTATCACCAGAGAACCTCCCCTCGTAGATAACATAAAATTCACAAGTGTTTTCATCATTTCCATAGACTCTTTCATGAAAATGAATGCAATCTCTAATGATTAGGTACATCATGATTTACAAGCTGTTGTACCAAACATAATACTTTTATCTGGGGGTTCTCATCTATGCAGAGATGTCTCCCCCAGTGTTAAATCAAAGCTTTCCTAACTACATAAATATAAGAACTGTTCTAGATAAACTGGAACCACTAAATCAATGTTACATTGGTTATATTTCATCACACATTTAATTTTCATCATTTCTCTGATCTGCATATTTTCTACATCTTCAATATTCAAAGAATATTAACTTCTCAAGGTAATCTTTGGTCCAATGAACCACTGTTACAACAGTGTAAGATTATGAATTTTTAATCAAGTTATAGAGTTTTAAAATGCTTTATTGCCAAGTGATAGAGACATTTTGCTAATGAATTGCTAGCTGGTCTACCCATTAATGTGAGACACATTAAGATATTGTGTTTATGCTATTATCCATCACATGGATAATCCATAATCAATTTAGATAATACAGGTTAAAGGACCAGGATTCGCCCGATTTTGACTTCGAGTAGGGAGAACACAACATCATTATGAGTTACGAAGAGATCGTGTTGAATAAACATTTGATAATAGAAAGAGGAATATGCAAAGATGAAAGGATAATAATTCTGATTTAAACAGTATTTGTAAATGAAAATCAGTCATTTGTAATAGGTTATATTCCATTCTAGGATGCAATGCTATATCCCTTATAAGTATTTCTTCGAGGAGGATGAGGAGAAGAGAAAGTACAGAAAGGGATCATCATTGTGACTAGTTCAGTTAAAATCTCTACTCAGCATACAGCTGTGGCCTGAAATTTTAAGCTAGGGAATGAAAAGGAATAAAACCGAACACCTACGGTGCTGCTGTGTGAATCAGTCATCCAGCCCTGCTTGGATAACAGAGCTGAATTACCTTTACCTGCCTTACAAAAGTGATCAGAAATGGAGAGTTCAGACACAGGCATCAAGAACGATCAAAGAATGTGAAGGGAATGTGGAGGGAATGCAAAAATGAAATCAGTTGCCTTAGAAATATGTAGTTAGAAAAAAAAACAATAATAATGTTAAGTTAAAACAGGCTACTCATCCCTCAACACTAGAACTAAATTAAGAGATGGCAAACTTCAAGGCAAGAGAAAATACTTGGATACTCACCCGAAGTCTATATGAGGATTTCATTGCTACAAGATGCTTGCCAGCATTCAGGTACTGCTGGCCACTGCATCAGAGCAGGGGATGTTTACAAAGAAGTTAAAGATTTGCAACAAATCGAAATTGTAATGCTCCTTGGCATGAAACAAGCCCTGGGTTGTGGGAAGCTCTTTTGAGGAGGCCTAATGCAGAGATCTTCCAGAAACCCTGCTGGAGCGGGCAGGACAGCAGCCTGCTAGAGAGGATTGGGACTGGAGAAACCACTGGTCAAGTCTGGTTAGGAGGTTCTCCAGTTTCTGCTCGTTACTGAGTCACAATGAAAACTGTCTCCCCCTAGATGCTGAAATGCCCGAATGAGACGGATGCCATGAAATAGGGAAAACACACGCAGCAAATTATTTTAGGAGTGGACTGCGATGGAATAAAGAAACCTGTCGACCTTCCTCTACTGAGGAGAGCTGAGATGTGGGTGGAAAGTGAGACGTGGCGTTACCAGCAGAAATGAGTTCCTAGGTCCTTGAAATGAATTCCCTATTGCGTCAGTGCCCAATACTTTGGGAAATGTTAAATGTCAGCAAGTGGTGTTTTGGTTTCTTTAGGTGACTAGAGAAGTATCAAAAATGCAAATACTTCGGAGCAGTTTCTCCCTCAGTAGGAAGTTTGTCAAAAATGGGCTCTGTCAGTTGGCGAGCAGGTATTTCTGAGCCCGCGCTACCGTAGCCATAAATCCCTAGTGAGGTCCGAAGCAATTCCTGCCTCGTCCCGGGCGGGTGAATTCCCGAGCGGTTGGCGGGGGGTTCCTGCCCTCTCCCCCGTGGGGGCGGCAGCCCAGGGCTGCCCGGGGCACGAACGCGGCGGGGGGGCCGCAAGAGGACCGGGCTCGGACCGGGCCGGGTCGGGTCGGACCGGGCCGGGTCGGGTCGGACCGGGCACTCACCTATCGATGCTTATCACGCACAGGGTGAGGATGGAGGCCGTGCAGCACATGACGTCCATGGCGATGAAGACGTTGCAGAAGAGGCGCCCGAAGATCCACTCTCCGCCGATGAGGTCGGTCACGCTGACGAAGGGCATCACGGCCAGGGCCACCGAGAGGTCGGCGAGGGCGAGCGAGACGATGAGATAGTTGGAGGGCTGCCGCAGCTTCTTCACGAAGCACACCGAGATGACCACCAGGCAGTTGCCGGCCACGGTGAGCAGCGTGATGAGCGAGAGCGCGGCGCCGATGACAACTTTCTCGAGGCTGCCGTAGCTGAGGATGTGCTCCCCGCACTGCGAGTCGTTGTGCGCCGGCGGCCCGGCCGTGGGCAGCGCCGGCGGGGTCCCGCCCGCGGGCAGCTTCACGAGGCGCGGCGGCCACGAGCCGCCGATCATCCTCCCGCCGCCCAGCGCGCGCGGCTCCTCCAGCGCGAAGGGCCGCACGTTACCGTAGAGGTGGCTGCCGTTGGCGGCGAGGACCATGGTGGCGCGAGGCGCCCATGGAGCCCGCGCGCCCGCCGCCGCTGCCCGCCGCGCTCGCGCTCGCGCTCGGGCTCCTCCTCGGGCGCCCC